CATAGAGGGCGACACTGCACAGTAGTGTACCAACATCACAATAATATGCATAAATTACTGTGATGTACAATAAATGTGTATGAATTTGAATTTTGTGATCGATTCCCATCCAATCAGCAGCCTTGTGATGAAGTTCCTGTTATCGTAAGTTTTCACTTAAGTAAGTTTAGTTTAAGTGGTTTCTGGCAACGCTATTAAAATTAACCTTTACATTAACATTAGACTTAAAATTAATCGTAACTTTACGAAGTTTCTGGCAACGGGCCCCTGGTATACTGTGCTACTTTTATACTCTAAATAGTACCTGTATCTGAAGGGGGTGAATCATCAGGTCCCAAAGAACTTCATCAAGATCACTGCCAGAAGGAAGCAACTCTTCCAGAGTTGCCCCTTGGAACTGTACAGCATGACTAATAAATAGTGCATACCACCGGTGCAACGGCAGATGGAACGACAGCTTGCATGATGAATCCTGAATGACAAAATGTTACCTATGTTACACCTACTATAAATGCAACAAACACTATCATCGTTAATACAGCTGATGAGTGTGCATGTCATTCCTATGCATATATGTGGTATTATTCTTACAAATATATTAGTTACCATAATCCAACTACCTTATTTAAGAGGTGCCACTAAGCTTGCTTGTACATCCTGATAATTGAAACTGTCAAATTCCAAGGTCTCATTCGAAACAGTTTTTCATTACATATCACCATTAAAATCCAAGCACTACACTACAACAGTTCCGCTTGAATAAATATTGACACACATGTACTCATGCATCAATTAAATTGCACAGGATTCCCCTAAAAAATGATATGAGGACAGTATTTTAAAATAGTAGATTTAATTAACATAAACTTAATTATTCACATTAACTACGAAATTTATATACTCTTTTGAACAAATTTCAAAATTAGGAGGTTCTGCACTTACCAGACTACGGATGTTGATCGCATCAAACCAGTTTAGTAATGCCGACATACATTTCTCTAGCAACGCTTTCGTGTAATGCAGTGTGTCCTGTTCACAAATAAGAAAGTTATTTAGTACATGCAAAATCATACTCTACATGTTATAATGACTATGTAATAGAAATGATGATTGATTCCATATTTTTGCACCTTTTTGTAATTTGTGCTGTGTACTGACCTTTATTTAAAATTTATTATTTTTATTTTTGTCACTTGAAAATCTACACAATGACTGCCCAACAGGGTGATGTACTTCTTAGACAATCAGACAATATCCCTATACTTTCATTCACACTAACGCACGAAGGGTCGTTGTCGTAACAGGTACTACAGATATGTACCCGAGGTAGTTTTAGGTTGTTTAGTATTATGTTTAAGAGATAAAGCGTTCCGGGCAAGGGGGGCCCTTCAAAATTATATTATATTTTTTTTTTTTAATTAAAAATTACCATAATAATCTAGAGATATCTGAACCTATATATCTGGATTAAATATGCACTTAGGAACTTATTTTTGTAAAAATCTCATTTTTGTCCAGGTAGGCCATTTCCAGCATTGACTTGTGACTTAGTCCGTATTATGCTGGAGCGGGTCACATATATGAATATGAAATGAAGTACTGTAGTGAGGTCCAAAAGCAACATAGCACACTATATATAACAACAGCAAATGAACTACAAAGTGCGATAACAAATATATACATCAAATATATAAATAGGAAATTAACTACCGAGGTGAAGCCTGATTGTGAGAAGCTGGGCAAGGAACGTTAGCATTCCCTCCATTAATGGTAGATCTTTCTCTTTCTCCAGGAAAGCATTTTTACTTCGCTCTTTCCTGAATGCCAGCCAATCCTCAGTATGGAACCTAACAAATACACATTGTAAAATTAGACCTGGTTTTTACTATTTTTGCTGTTAATATTCATAATTTTTAGTGATAAATAAATGAACTAGTAACATGCCACTTTAGTTCAGCAAATTATTTTATTAATTTCACTTTTTCATTTTAAATATTTGTCACTTAATAATAATAATTAGATAATATTCAATCAATGATGATAATATAATAGCCAGCTTACTTTTCTATAACTTTACTTAGGTATTTGTCGGGGTCTAACTTGCATGCACAGACCTGAAATAGCAAATCAAGTTCAAAGATGAAAATAAAATATTTTTGAATATAAATTGCTATATAAATATATTACATTGCTACTAGCAGCTGCTTATCAATCCAATAATAACAGTTAGCAGTGGGGTTATAAAAGGAATGAATGATACTTTTAAACCACCTCACCTGCAACATAAATATGTCAGGGTCGACCAAAGAATTGCAGAAATGACACTGGACATAGGTCATTGCCTGGCCTTTTATCTGTAGCCCATTTCGTACCCACATGCTAGCGAATATCTCGTAGAATGAAACCTAAAAATAAATTTGCAGTCTATACCAGGAGTGCAAACAATGAACAACACTACTGCAACACTAATGCTTTGCTTAATTAATTATTCATTAGCACAAATAAATGCTCACGGGTACAATAAGTTATCAACTCGTTACATTTCATTGATAGTTCAAAAATACAACATACCACTAATTGTATACAACAAAATCAATGTGGCCAATTATTCAATAATTATTCCATATGCCTAATCACTATGCGTATAACTATCCAACAATATAACATTGGACTGTTCTCCAACATTCAATTAATTCATTACGTTTGCATTTGTTTCACGCCATATTTATTACAATATTTAGCTAACTACTTGTGCATGCATTCAACCCACATCATGAAGCTTAACTAATTTAATATGCATGCAATCACGTAACTTACTCATAGTGTTTACGATTTTTAATACTCTAACATTACTAATCGACTACACACATACACTAATTAATTAAGCAAATTCCTGGGGCCCGTTGCCAGAAAAAAATTAGTCTTAACATTAACCTTAAACTTAAGTTTTTCTCTTAAAGCGTTGCCAGAAACTTCGTAAAGTTAAGAGAATTAAAAATTCTCGTAACTTTTCTCTTAACTTAAGAGATCCTAGACCCTCCCTTAACTTTAATATTAAGTTGAAAATAACACATTTGCACTACGAATTACAATTATAGTGATATTACATTTTATAATAATGAATAAAATGTGTGTTTTTCTTGAAAAACACGTCAAAATCATTAATTATCTACCGCTAATAAAACAAAACAATACATTTATAAATGACGTATGGCATTTGTTCTCTTGTTTCAAAAGTTTGCAACGCTTGCCACGATTCTCGCGTCTCTTGTTACAGTGTGAGAATTTGTCTTGTTGTGCAGAATTAATTCATGACCACGTAATATTTCATCAAATATTATTTATATGTGTTTAGCCATCATAATATGCATAAATTACTGTGATGTACA